AGACTGACTTGAGCCCAGTGCTCAATGCTGACTCACAGCCACGCTGCAGCCTCGAGGAGACTGTCCACTGGGGTCCCCAAAGCCGACCAGACAGAATCAGGCTGCCTCCTCTTTCTCCCTTAGAGCAGGTGTTGGGCTTGAAACACTGGCCCTGTAGGTGGCAGCCTCACCATACCTTCAGTAATGCTGACAAGACCTGTCTGTATGCCCTGTTCTCCACCTCGAAGCACGGGGAGACCATGTCTAGCTCCCCCTTAGGTTGGCCTTGGGCTTCTGCTTACAGGTAACCTCCCTGCCCCCAAAGATACCCACCCACCACCAGACTCGGGGTCATTGAGATGGTTCAAAGCACAAACCCACCTCCCATAGAGCCCACCGATTTCCTGCCGCTTTGTTACTGAGGGTCCAGCCCTTCATTCACGTTAAAGTTCAGTGTTGCATCTACTTCCGGACCACTGACACACAAGACGACTGTGGCCACAACCCTTGCTGCTCATTGAATACGTCCGCGCCCCCACCCTCTGTGGCCCCCACAGGCCAATGCTTCCCCTCCAGTCTCTGGGGGCAGGACTCTCGCTCCCAACCCCACTGTGTCTGCCCCCTGAGCCCACAGGGGTGTGGGCAGCATGGGCACTCACTGCAGCTGCTGGTGCATGGGCAAGGCCACCTGAGGCGGGACGTTGATGAAGCGCTCGCTCAGGAGGAGACCCACCGGCTGAGCACTGTCCCTGAGCAGTTTGTCCAGCCGTTCAACCAGGTCCTTCTCGCAGCAGCTCAGAATCCACTCCTGGATCTGCTCAGCACACGGGGCCCCCTGCCAAGCAGAGAGAGGCTGGCCTTTGGCTGTCGGCCGGGTCCACCATGCCGAACACAAGGTGGCTTTAGTGTAATTGGGCCCAAGGAGACCCCAGGGCACCCACCTGTCTCTCGGTTAAATTTAAAAGGCTTATGAAACCGAAAACCTCATCTTCATCCACATCCACATCGTCATCACTGTCTTCTGACACGCCTGTTTGCTAATTCAAAGAGGGAGGGAAAAGGCATCTGGTGGAAAGTCCAACAGTGAGTCTCGGGGACCAGGTCTCAGGATCTTCCCGGGCTTCTCCAAAGCCCTGCCTGGTGGCTGCCCCTCCAGCCACACTCCGCCCCCACCCCCCACCCCAGCCCCGAAGCCATGCAGGACAAGGGGCTGACCGCCCTGCGCACCTTAATGACACTCCCAACAATGTGGCTCTGTCCTATCAGGAGGTCTGTCAGCTCGGCCGTGTTCACGGGGGCCTTCAAGAAGAGCTGAGAGGTTAAAAGGGACATAGGAGATTTAGAGCAAGGTCTGGCTCCAGGAAACACTTCTACCTCCTCTGTCCTAATAAAGAGTGAGGACCCGGGCAGGGTGACCCAGAAAAGCCACCAAGAGAGGAAAGGCAGGACCAGGAGCACCCAAGAGGCTGCCGGCAGCACACTTCAGGGCTGCAGGCACCGTGCTGCAAAGCAGAGGGGCAGCAGGGGAGGATGACGGACACGTGGCTCGGGAAAGCAAAGCCACAGTTGAGGGGGTGCAGCAGAAAGGGCCAGCTTTGCCACAGCAGATGCTCTCTAGGAAGGTCTGGCCCTTAGAATTTGGAGCTGAATTTGAGGAACACAGAACAGAGGCTCAAGTAAGGGGCAGGTGGGAGGGCGCGCACGCAGGACACAGGTTCGCTAACTCCATGACCCAGAGGCAGTCTTGGGGGTAGAGGCACAGCGAAGCCATCCTCCCCCAGGGTGGGGCAGGAGAGAAGTGGGGATTCTGAAGAGAGAGGATGAGACTGAGAACACACGTGTCCAACGACCTGGGGTTTCTCAGCCGACACGCATCTGTAAAAGCGAAAGAGATACCTGCTGCAATAGTTTCTTAACGCCAGCATAATCATTCGCTGAGATGGAGTAAGCTTCAAATTCAACGTTCACTTCCTGTAAGCAACAAAGGTCATCATGCACAACTGTCTAGAGCAGTGGTTTTAAACCTTCCTAATGCCGGGGCCCTTTCATACAGTTCCTCATGTGGTGGTGACCCCCAACCATAAAATTATTTTCGTTGCTATTTCATCACTGTCATTTTGCTACTGTGATGAATCAGGCAACCCTTGTGAAAGGGTTGTTTGACCCCTGAGATAGTTTATTGTGCAACTTGGTTTTATCTCTCTAGAGAACCCTGTCTAACACAACCCCCAAAGGGGTCGCAACCCACAGGTTGAGAACGCTGGTCTAGAGAATGAAGGGCTCTCTTCTCCACTCTGAGGGCACTGGCTTCTCTTTCCTCCTCCATTCGTGCTGGCTCCTCCCTACTTCTCAGTTCCCCACAGCAGACTACTGACAACGACAAGAAAGAGGCAGGAAGAAAAAGGTGGTCACTTAAGCCGGAAGGGGCGGGGGACCGAGAAACCATCAATCCAGGCTCACATCACACGAGAAGCCGGCCCAGCTATCACCTTGGGGAGGAGTTCGTTAAATGCGTGGCCACTGATTGCAGGCTAATTTCTCAGTTGATCGTTTTGAATGGCCTGGGAACGATGTTAGAAATTTCAAAATGCCCCTTGGCGCACGCGCACACACACAAAGAATAGGTTGCCCGCCCTTGACTAGGTTTGAAACCGGATGACAAGACTACAACCACCACTGGTGGAGTCCATTTCCAGATTCCAGTACCAAGCACCCTATCACCCCTCATTTTCCACAGACGCCTCCGAACCACACACGGATGACCTGCCTGCACTCAGGGGGGTCTGCTCCAGAAACAGCACCCCAGCAGCCGAAGAGAAGGGAGGCTTTACAGGCTGCCACAAGGGTAGGAAAGGACAGGACCGCTTCAGAAGGCCTGGGACTGCCCTGAGCATGGGCAACCTCTGGCTGAGGCTGCAAGAGGCAGCGCCGGCTGGTTTCTGGGTCCACTTAGTAGTTCCCAGGCATCAGCGTGGAGGGGGCTTCAGTCCTGTGCAGGAACTTTCTGAAGCCTCCTCACATATCACTGTGCAGGTGGAGAGGAAGGCAGCCACGAGTGACCCCACAGGTTCAAGACACACACAGGCGTTAAGGAGACATTCAGGGAAATAAGCGTCAAGGTGCAGCGATATGTGCACTTAACAGCCTCAAAACTGGGCAGGGCTGAGGGAAGGGACCCTTGGGCAGGGTGCTGACCTCTGGCAGCAGCACAGCATGAGGTGGACCCAGATTGGCTTGATGGGGGAAGGGCCCACTGACATGGGGGCGGAGCTGGCACAGGAGTGGGTGTCCCGGTGAGGAACAGAAAGAGGATTTGAGTTTGGATTTGCACACTTCTATTGCCTTCCATCACGCCTCGAACTTCACACACACTCCCAT